CAATATATATTTTTGAAAGCATTCTTACTTTGCAGCATTTTTTCACACCTGCCTAAAACATTTGCACAGTACTATGTGTGTGTGTGTGTATATCAAAACATTATTAACATATCTCCTGCATTATTGAATTTAGCCAATCCAAATCTTCTTCTAACATCAGGTTACTCATTTTTTCCACTTATATATTCTAATCACACCATTTGTCCTTTCCAAATGCTGCATTTATCAAATCTTGATTTTTTTTCATCTCAATGTCTTCCATCACTATGTCTCTAATAAGTGCATATACTTGTATAATATTAATGTTCCCTGGATATCCACTAGTTCTAATAAATAACAATCCTATCACTTATAGGTTTATCACTGGGCACATGCTTAATGATAAACTTCTTTGAGTATCAATGTCATTCTCTTCTTAGTGACTCATGCTTTAAATAGTATGACATAATCTTCTGATTTAAAATGTCTCATTTCAGTTCCCCTAAGTTCACTTTTCCCTAAAATATGCAGTTGAATACAAATCATTTCCACTTTCACAACTTAATATTTTCCTTGGTTATATGTTCCAATCACATACGTCATTGTAAAACAAGGGACTTCTCTTTCAGGACTGCACAATCAGTGACCAGAGTTCCCTGTGGCTTTGCTCTGACCATGTCATCCCCTCCAGATCTATTTATGAAAGCCTGATGCTGTTCCTTACTTCTGTTGTGAATCACCCTTCCACTTTTCACCTTACCAGGCAAGATGATCCTACCAGGAGCGCATGTTCCCACTGTTGTATCCTTTGAGTCACTGAAACTACTGGGAAGGATCCATTAAATAAATGATTATAAAAAAAAAAAATCCTTCATGAGTTGAAATTTTCTCAGCAACATGTAGGCATGGTGGGGGGGGGAGAGATTTGTAGAAACAGCCTTTTTTTAACTAGAAGAAATCAGAGGTCTTTTAGCATCCTTCTTAGGACATTTCATGCATCTGGACAATCAAAATATCTTCAATACAATACTACAATACTTTGTGGCAATGAATTACATCTATTATGTACACAGAGTAAATTATTTTGATTCAAACATTCATTTTTCAGTTCCACTGAATGTGTACCATTTGTTTGGTATTAGTTCATGGGAGATTTAGAGATTTGTTTTTGTTTTATGAATACATTCTTCTAATTCCATGGACAGATGCTACTGAGAATTAGCTCCTTGTATAGCTGAATATTGTCTCTCATAGTTGTCCATGATAAATTGTTTCCTAACATGAAAGCTAGGATTTTCAGAGGTTTGTATCAAATGTCATGCTTGGACAAATTTGATGCAAAATTCCACACATGTACATATGTGAAAACTGTGAGTCCTAAACACATTCGTATGTTCAGTTTAATACAAATGATGGTTTACAAGTGGTGCATACAGGTTGTTTGTATTTGATTACGGAGCCTTTTTCTGCCAAGAACTCTTTATAATGATTCAGCTGGAATTAAAGCTAATATGTCTTCAAACATTTACTTACTGGTATAAGGCTCAAATGTCCATTCACATGATCTCGTTTCATTAAAGGTTTCCAGACGATACTGGGGAGAAACACATCTTGTCATCAAATGCTGATTCTAGAATCCTTAGTCTGAGAAAAAGAATTATTTTTTCCGTTTTGGATCTTTTAAGACATCAGGTTAACTCACTCATGAATCACCCCATCTACCACTGTCAAAGTGATTTTTGATAAAACGTTATTGAAGCCATTGAAACATTTTGTTTATCCCATAGGGCTTCAAGAGTTAGTCCAGCTTCTGAACAAACATCACCTTTTTCTAGTTTCTAATACTTGCAGAAGTCTCAGTTGTAGTAGTCTATTGATTTTTTCCCACCTAGCTTTGTCAGCTGGCATCCACTGGTAACCTGTCCAAGAATACTCACTCTGTAGGACGTCTGTGGCTTCAATTCCCGAATAAAGAGCTCGCCTGCAGCTCTGTTGCCATAGCAACATTTGGAATTGACGAAGCTGAGCAGAGCACTTCTGGCCATGTCATCTGTCATTCTTGGGATCCTGGGGATTAACAAGACAGCAAGCACACTTTCATTTCTAAGGCATACATGCATCCAGTCTGTGGCATCTCCAGTTAAACAGACTAAGTTGAATCTGATTACCAAAACTTGCAGCTCAGATGGCAGAGAACAATTACCAACTATGAAGAATCACATTGGCTAGCATTTTTTGCCATGTTTCATTAATAAATGCCATGCTTTTTTATTTATTTATAAATAAAATTTATACACCGCCCATCTCACAACCAGTGACTCTAGGCAGTTTATTTTTAAACACCATACTTCAATAATAACAAGACTTTCACACTCTTGTTCAGAGTTGGCTGCAATAATGAAGACCTCTTCATGAAAGTCTTGTATCCCAGAATTTCTACATCCTGAGTATATTCACTTAGTTTCAATACATATAATACAGTTGAAAGGACAAATTATTTTCAATGTTCTTTGAATCTATACTCCTTTCTACACTCTCGTGCCTGGATGGCTTAATCAAGAAAATTATGTTGCAATGGACTGCTATCAGCACCTGATACACTTCTATGAGGGCAAGGATTTTAACTTGGCCCAATCTTGTGTTGTCCTGCTTGGAGACAATAGCTCATTGAAATTGTGGGTTTAATTTAGCTTTTGCTAAATTGAGCAAACTCAGCATACTACTAGGACTAGAGCAAGGACATTTTCCAAGATAAAAAGCAAACAAAAAAATGACTTACCTACACTCTAGAAACACAGGGTTGCTCCTCTGTTCACTAAGTTTTTGCATCATTTCTGGAGGTGGAAATAACTTTTTTCTGCCTGGGTGGGGGGTTCAAGGAAGAATGAATAATGATGAATAAATGTATACAATGATGGGAACAACACGAAAACTAGGGAAAACCATTCTCAGTACTGACATTATGTTCAATCCGACACCTTTCTTGTGCTCATGTGGCTGCTCCTGAAGATGGTTTATGATGCTTGAGGTGTTCTCACCAGCTGCTGCTATGTATGTCTATATACTCTCTGAATCATATTTATTTATTTACAATATCATTCATTCATTCATTCATTCATTCATTCATTCATTCATTCATTCATTCCATTTGTATAGCCGCCCATCTCATATCTGTGACTCTGGGTGGCTCACACAATTAAAACAGCAACAGAAAACAGGAAGCAAAATGCAAAGAAAAAAGAAAAAAAATGTAAAACCATTACAACCAAATTAAAATCATAAAGCATAATCAGCAGGAGAGTATTTGCACTTTGAATCTGGATCTCTGGCATAACTCTGTTATATATTCTGTTACATGGCATTTGCCAACTAAGTGCCTCAGGAAGATTCACATGGTAGATACCTCTATGCTATCAAGAGTCATATGAAAACAGTTCTATTTTTAGGTAGAGTATTTTTTCCTCTTTTTTTTTAAATACCTACTCATAAATTGATGCATACTAAAAATAATGTTAGTATTCTTTATAAGAATTAATAAGAATACTTTATCATGAAAAGGACAACATATGGATAAGATAATACCTTCTGCTATTTCTATTTTCTGCTTTTAATCCTAGCCAAGCTACAAAAAACAGATCTATACAGAAAGCTATAGATACTATTTTAATGTGGAACCGAGCAAAGATCTTTTACACTTTACAAGTCTGATGGTGATGCCTCAGGTAAAAAGTTTTAGTTATTTAAAGCACATTTACCAGTTTATTATTCCACTTCCATTCTATTAATTTCAATTGCACAGCACTCCTTCAGGACACAGGGACCTAAAAATATGGCATATGATTCACTAGTTTTCCTTTAATCCCCCAATATCTATTATATTCCAGTGATGTCATGTTATAAACAAATATATTAGCTATACTTAAAACAGACTATATTGGCATTCTCTACTTTTGACAGATTCCCATTAAAATCCTAACTGGTTCACAAGCAAAATAGCCTACATTATTATAATTCCATTGTTTTCTTCTCCAGCATTTCATAGGGCATAATTTACAGATTATTCATAGAACACAACATTTTTTTCTCAGTTATTGGTGTTGCTCTGACCAATCCAGTCTATATTTGAAACAGCACTCATTTGCCACATTTTTAAAGCTAGGAATCCTAATTCATGAGCAAAGACTGCATTAAGAATATTATGATTTCGTTTCCTGTTATTTGTTACTGTTTTACATTTTCTATAAATATCTTTCAATCTTAAACTGGGTTGTGTCATCTGGAGGTTATTTCCAGAAGAGTTTGACTTTTTTAAAAAAAAATGCTGCTTTTTATACATCACTGGCCAACAAAGATCAAAGGCCAGTTCAGATGAAAGATCTTTAGTGATAACCATGACTAAGGGAGTATTCATATGGTATTGGTTCAAGACCTTCCATATTCTTATTAATGCACACATTTTTCTTCTAGCTATTAGTTAATTAGGACTCTCCATGGTTTCATTTGAAGGCATGGAGGCAATCTTGATTAGCAGTAACACAGTTAGCCCTAAACCATAGAAAAGAGAGGGAAAATCCAGCATAACTAGGCAGAAGGAAAATGAATGGAAGATGCCACTAGAACTGAAAGGAAACCCTCAGTACACTATGTATTTATTTATATACTGCTAATCAAGCAAATTACTTCCAAGTACAACATAAAACATACTGAGTATTGTATAGCACAAAATACAACAAAATGTAGCATTAAAGATAAAAAGATAAATATGTGACCACTGCCCTTGAATGGTGGAACAGTACCTTCAGGTGATGTGAGAATTAAGTAACTGTACACAAAGTGCATCCCAGTAAGGGAGAATGAGTTTCCCATTGCCTGGGCCTTCACTATCTAGTCCAGGAAGAGCCATAGCTGGCAAAGCACCCCATGGGGGTAAAAGACCTTCTTCTGAAGAGCTCTTTGTCCTGTCCCTTCACAAGCAATTTGGATTCAGAAATACAAGCCAGATGTGAATGAGACCTTCTGAGGGAATTACAGCTGTACTTCTTTAGAAGGAGAAAATGAGTTTCATGGGCAGATCAGGTTTCCAGTATATGCATACCACTGTGTAGTAATATGATAGGGAAACAGTTGCAAGGAAGATGAAAAGGAGCATATTTATCTCTGTATGTGGAATGTGATGAGATGAGATGAGATGAGATGAGATGAGATGAGATGAGATGAGATGAGATGAGATGAGATGAGATGAGATGAGATGAGATGAGATGGTATTATATACTTCCTAATCTCTAGGCTGAGAATCTGTGAAATCTACTCTGGCAATGCATATATAATCCTCAGTTTCAGTTATTGTTATATCAAACTGAACAAGCCTAACTTTTGTCCAGTAGAGGCCACCATTCTTTAATGTATAAAGGAATATAATCCTTTATAAACAGGAGTCAGCTACAACATAAGTATAAAGACAGTAAGAGCCACTATGTAGGACAGACAGGCAGAAGACTAGCAGAGCATATCCATGAACACCAACTAGCAGTCAGAAGACAAGATGAAAACTCCTTAATCTCACATCACATGGACAGACTCAACCATAGTTTCAACTGAGAAACTGAGCATCCTAGACCAAGCTAAATCCAAAAATGCTAGGGAATTCCTGAAAGCTTGGGTTCAGACAAATCAGCCATCAACAGACTTACTTACTCACTCACTCACTCACTTACTTACTTACTTATTTATCATATTTATATAGCCACTCATCTCATGTAAAAGTGACTCTGGGCCTCATACAGCAAGACACATAAACCATATTTACACACCATTCAAAAGAGACAACAAAAAGCTAAGAAGGAAATAAGACCTGAACATATCCCCTCCAGCAGCCAGCACCCAGATAAGCAGGAATCAACACCAGGTGAACAATCAAGCAGAAAACCATACCCTAATCAAGCAACTACCAAGGAGAAAACCACACACAACCATCAAAATTGGCAGGGCATGCTACTGTATATAAACAGGGAGCAAACCCCACACTCACTTGCACTGATGATGTTACCTAGTTGGGTAAAGAAATGTCTGCAAGCAAACAACCAAGCTCAGAGAGCACCAAGGACTCCACATAATCCTTTGTCCATATAAAGAACAAAAAGCATAGTCTTTCTGCAGTGCAGATCAGGAGCTTGAAGGGACCAGACTTGCCTCATATTAGCACTGAAAGATTACTGTTTTAAATTCCCCAAACCCTATAAGGATGCTTTGAGAACCTGTATGTTTCTAGTTTGGACTTCAAGCAAAGGTTCTTTGAAGACAATACCTGAAGTTGTTTCAAAGACAGAAGGTAATCTACTCAAAGGCATGCCCTTATGTTCAAGACTGAACTATTAGGGTATTTCTGCACAGACAAGAGTACATCGTCTGACATATTGTGGAAATGTTTAATTTTTTAAAAAAATATGCATATATTGAAATTCAAGATAAGAAACACTGCCCTGATGAAGAACTTGTGTTCTTGTAGTTATATAAATGCAGCAGCCAGTAAAGTACAGTGGGTTATGCATACATACCATGATCGCGAAAAGTCCATGCATAGAGACCAGTTGGTGTTAACAGATCCGTAGGGGGCACCGAAGGACTTTCAGGCTCTGATTCCAGTTCCAGGGTAGCTATTTTAAATGTAAACGATGAATGATATATTTAGTCAAGCCATTTTATTTTTGTGCATAATCTATTTCATATGGAATATGTTTACAATATAGATACAATGTCTACCAAAAGTCCGAAAGGATTGTCCTGGTGGCATGATGCATTTTGCCTCTGGAACCTCTTCTTATTCTGAGGTAAATGCAGAATTATCCAATTCATGTGTGGAAAGAAAAACATGGCTGCCAGCATTTAGTCAGATAAGGTTTCAAACAATTTGTAATATAATTCTACAAACTGGAATGAGAGTTACTAGAAATGAAGCTTTTGATGGATTATTGATTTTTTTTCCCTCAACAAATGTGAATGCCTTTAAAAAAATTATTTTTGGTAATATCTACTGTGTATGAAAAAATGTGTTTCTTCTTAAGTACTATGGTATTTTGTACCCTTTTAAAAATCCATACAAAAAACAATATATACCCATGGATGCTACAGGAAACGCTTTTTGCTAACAATGTACATTTCTAACAATAAAAAAAGTGACTTGATGCCATCATTCATCACTTTGATTAAATAGAGCTTTCTGTTAAAAGCATACACAATTCTTCACAAGGCAAAAAATAATCTCTCTATTTTCTTACCCATGAAAAAGAATAGAAGAAATAAACAAACTGCAGTAGATTTCATTTGAAGGTTGCCTTAATTTAACTGAATATAGAGGCTAAAGAGAATTCTTTGTTCCATGACACAAGTGAATATGCAGTAACTTTTATTATGAATTCTCTCCCCAGTCTATAGTAAAATAAATAAGTAGATTGCACTGCTTGAGATTCTTAGGGATACATCTCTTTCTTCAATAGATCATGATGGACTTTTCTAGAAAAAGAAGAGACAAAACTGGGTCCAAAGTTTTGGGAAGATGGTTGGACAAGAACTTTGACTGAATAAGCCTGAATGTATTAAAAAAAAAACCTAGGAACTGAGATGTTTATGTCAGCACGCTACCCTGTAAATAAAAATTTACTGTTTGTCCTGATAATGTTAATCCTCTTCAGTATACAAGTCAAGTCATTCCCTGCCACAAAATTTCATTTATTTTCTTCCTAACTAACTTATCCTATTCCAAATATTGTCTGGATGTCCAGACATTTTGCAACACTTCTCCAGGGGTACTCTTTCTGGAATGCTTTTCATCACTCCCACCCACCCACCCACCCACTCACTCCCTGGGGTTTCTCTGCTTCCATATATCCTTTCCAAATAATTTCCACTATGAACAGAATCTAGCAAAGGCTTCTGTTGTGACACAATCTCAGTCAAATCTCCCTGTCTTCCTTCCCACCAACATTCTGACTCAATGCTCAGTGAACAGCTTTAAAATTCCTTTTTCAACATATTCTAAAATACTTTTATTTATATAGCAAACAATCTTCCATCCATTTACCTCTTCATATGAGGTAAGTGGACAAGACATGATTCAGGAGGGAGATGGAGAAGCAATCCACTAGCAAGTTCTTTCCTTATCTTTCGATGGAGAAGAAATGAAGGAGTTGTAATGCAATGGGGGTTGATTTAGATAGTTAAAAACAATTACTGATTGGCCAGCTTTATAACCATAAACTTCCCGACATACTGTATCTCACACATTGAAGTAGAGAGAATTCAGGATAGCAGTGAAGATACAGTCACTCCAGGACTAATCTGAGACTGTGGTTTTCCCACATGAACTGCAAGCTTCTATATTGACACGAAGTGCTCAGATCGCTCAATATTTGCTTACTATGACATATTAGAGTCTTAATGAAATCATCTGAATTACCAAAATCTCCTAGAGCAAATGCTAATCTGCCTAAGCAGCACTTCCGATTTAATATATTTATAAAATATATGGCATGCTAATTGTAGTAAGGGATTGCAGCAGAGAAGATGGTGGCAGCAGGTTAAGTGATCCATAATCTCTGAGAACTGGTGAATGTTTAGCCCTGCCAAGGGCTGCATAGGGACCCATCATTTGAGGGACCACCTGTCTCCAATTGTTTCTGCCTGTCGGTACAATCAGACAAACTAGGTGTGCTTCATGTCCCTTCATTTAAACATTGTCTTTGAGCTTAATACTTAATACTAAGGTCTCCACCCTAACCCTAACCCTTTTTCATAGCATAAAATAATTCAATGCATTTTGCAACTGTTTATCAAGATCATACTTAATTGTACAATTTAAGCAACCTTATGTTCATTAACATTTTAGAAATTATATTTAACATTGATATAAAATTTTTCCCTGTCTTTAAAGGTTTCACTTATCTAAATCATCATAGCGTTAACGATTTCTAATTTCTAATATATAATGCCACTGTACTCAGGTATTATCTGCATTCTGTAATGTATTATTTGCATCTTATAATGCAATAGAACAAATAACAATTAATGAAATAGATTAAAGCAGTTCCTATCCTGGGAAGTTGTGAAACATTTTCCTTGCAGAGGTAGAAATTGTTTCTCTGATGTGAACATTATGGCAAATGTATGGATTCTTACATCAGTGTACCTGCCTTTTCTTCCCCCAGCTAGGCTGTTCAATAAATGACCAAATCGAGCAGTCTTGGAGGACAAAATTGCAACATTCTTGACTAACCAATGTGCACATTTTTATTTCTCCCTCGAGCTCTTTTCTTTTCTTTTTCCCTTCAACAGCAAGCTGATTTTTAAAATAGCAAGAGTGTAATAGTAGCTTGGGGATTTGGCAGGAAGAAAAAAAAATAGTGTGCCGACATAGCTTATGAATGTTGCTGGAACTACAGACAATGTGCTTGAAATACTGGATGTTTACAGGAAGAGCAGACTTGCCTGATATCAGTTTGCCCCTCCCTCCCTCCCTCCCTCCCCTCCCAAATGTGTCCCATGAGTGGGGAGATGAGAACTCAGAAGCGGAGGTCTCAGGGGCAGAGAGATTGGTGATGAGTAGCAGCAGATAGGCAAATAGCTCCAACTCTGCTCCAGTTGCTTAACAACAGCACTTTCAAGATCTCAGTTAACCCAAATGTAATTTTCATTCCTTGTCTGAAACTTATTCCAGTGTTTGATTCAAAGGGTACTGCAATTAATTGATTTGGCTTCTAAGTAACAGCTTTATATCTTGGTGTTCTAATGAAAAACAAAATAGATCTGGAAGTTTGCTCTCTTCATCTAGAGCAGTGTTTCCCAACCTCAGCAACTTCAAGAAGTATAGATTTCAACTCCCAGAATTCCCCAGGCAGCATTTCCTGCATGGTTTAACTTGTTCAACTTAAAGTCAGTATCAGAACAGAAAACTATATATTTCTGCAGTACAGGCTGGTATAGCTCAGGGTGTCAGAAATTTTGCCAGTAACTTCATAAGACCTACCAATATAGTGACTTGCATTTACAATTCATTATAATCTAAAATATGGGTAAATTAGTGCTATATGTTGTATATGTTGCATAAGAGCATTCATGAGTGGTTAGGATATATATCTGTAAAATACAATAAATGAGTTGCAAATCATTCTACTGTAAGCAATGGTGGGATCTTATTAGTTACATAAGCAAAATGCAGTTATATCTGCCAACAGCCTGCTTCAGAAATTATGGGAAAATTATAAAGTACCAGCATCACATGAGATTTATATTTAATTAATAAAATAAAAGACTTAAATAAATGGAGAATTTCATTCTGAGTCCCTCAACTTGATGCCAAGATACCTCTCTTGGCACTTGTCAAGTTCTGTGCCTGTTCTGACTTCTTATGTAATTAATTTATTTTAAGAAATTAACCAGTACACTAGCCTGCTGTACCGTCACTAAATGAATTAATTCCATAAATATAGATAGTAACTCCAAAAAACTTTATTGTTTCCATTCATTTTCCCCAAAATGACTAGAAGTGGTCTCTTGGTTTCAAATGAGAGTGGTCAAAAACTGCAACTTTATACATTATAGAAGTAAATGTGGGGGCCCATGAATACTCTCTGGCTGGATGTCAACATAGTCTTGTATTTTCCCAGCTGGATTGCTATAGCAACAGGTCTGCTCTGTAAAGTACACTCTCCAAACAGAACTATTTATAACTTTGTTCTTTATTAGAGAAATTATTTTTGGAGTGGCTTGACTCACATACACAGACACTTCCCTTTTTAATTAACCTTATCTATGGCATCTACAAAAACTAAAGTGAAGCTTTAAGTCAATCTGAAGAGGTTTTATGATTACTGTTTTATAGCCACATTGAACTAGCATGTAAATGAATTGCTGAATAATAATAATAAAAAAGAGTGGATTAAACAAAATCTTGAATTCATCCTCCTCTGCTGAAATATCAGAGCTAGCAACCATTAAAATTGGAGATATGAGAAATTTGCACAACATCAATAGTTTCTTCATACTGGATCAGGTCTGCACATATAAGTGTCCATTGTGGGGACTGGAGGGTAAAGAGATGCGACGTGCGTTGGGATATCACAACACAAATGCTGCCTCTCACATACTTGCGTCATAATGAATGTTGCACTGTGTTGTGGTCTTTGTGGCTAGTTATAGGTGTCTATGGCTGCATGATTTTGCCTTTGAAAAGGTTGATTAGTACTATTAAGGAAGTGGCTTGTTTATCTTGTATTATTATAACTGCTAACCATTCTGGGAATAGGGATTAAATTTATGTATAAAACATTTGTGGTCACTAACCCACACCCTGATAGAATTTTTAGTCTGGGGCCTTATTGAGGCCTTGCTCATCCAAACTGCATGACATATATTGCTTGTTATAGTTGGAGTGATATGGCACACGCTGGGTGAGGTTTTCCTACATATTTCCTGAAATATTCCCCACATGACAATCTTTTGTTGTTTTCTTGGTGGGATATGGCAAATTGTTGCACACATAGAGAAGGAAAGCCATCTTCCCAGGCTTCCTTCACCAAGTACCCTCTAAATGTTTTGGATTGCAATTTCCAGAGTCCCATCTCCTGCAACTGTTGGCAAATTGAAGAAGTCTGGGCAAATGATCTGGAGCTTCAAGCAGAACCTCAGCTTGGTGTGAATCAGGATCAGCCAATTTCTGTGCAGCTTATTGATACACACAGAGATCAAATGAGTGCACTTAGGTTCATGAGCTATCAATTCCAATTTCTTCCTGCGAAGAAGAATAACATTCAGGCACCAACAAGCAGCACCTTAAATAGCTCTTTTGTACAGCTATTTAAAAACTAAAAGAAACATCGATTAAACAAGGAGAAATGGGGCAAAATAAAAAAAAAAGTTGTCTATTAGTGTTAAAGATCTTGCATCTGAAAGAGTTATAATGCACATTGGGAAGTGACTTGATCTGTAAATCAGGTTAACTTACATAGGAAAACTGCAGGTTAACGTGTACTATGGAAGTGGAGCAGAAAAACATGTCCTAAGGTCATTTTAAAGGTGAGTGAGAGATTAAAAGAGTGCGATGTTGTCTGATTCTGCCCTCCAAAAACAGTTGCTTGTCCATTCTGCTGAAGGGCACAGTGCCGATTCTTGAAGAAACGTTGGTCATTAAACGAAGTGGCTGCTAAGTGAAACTGCAACAGTGCTTATGATCTTACTTCAGCTTTCCTTTGCTTTACAGACCTGCAAAGGTCGTAAATGCAAGGATTGGTCACAGAGTTACTTTTTCATCACTGCTGTAACTGTGAACAGTCACTAAATGAGTCAGTCGCTATATTATACAGCTGTATTATGGCAGCTTTATCACCTTTGTGTCCCTCAATTTGTTCAGAAGTCTTTTATTTAAAAATAATAATAAAAGATGGCACTACTAATTGTTAAAAGCAAAGTATCATCCAATGATACCAATTTTATTAGTATGAGTGTTGGGCAGCAGCAGCAAGTGATCTGGCATTTGGTGTTTAGAACACACATCTGCTCTGAACTCTATTTCTTCAGCAAGTTATTTGTCTTTGATTCACTTTGTGAAATAGGAATTGGAGCAGAAAATAATGGGGTCAAGATAATGTTCTTTTTAAGTGAAGATCTTGGATCTTGGATACTGTTTCACATCACTTTGTGCGTGTTTGCACATGCATGCACACTGAGAGCATCTACAATCATTTCTCACAATTCCAGAGATTTCCATTGACCCAAAATGTTTATGGATGTCTGTATCTGTATCTGAACATTTTTGGAGCATGCATAAACACTAGAAATAAATAATTCCATCTACCCACCTCACAGCACATACATATATATGTATTTTAAGAATGAACGCCAAATCCTATGAGAAACTAAATAAGACTTGGAGATTGGCAATTTTAACCATGAAAAATATGAAAGCAGGCTTCTAATATCTGATGTCCTGATACAGAAAATGAGCCACAGTTCATCACTGCTTGAAATATCATGACTAGAACTACCAAGTGGACACTGTAGAGAAGCAAATTCAGTTAAACATGAGTAAGAGCTTTTGCCCATGGGTATCCCAGTAAGTTGCCCTTGAACATTAATATGCTTATGAAACCATTCTTGGCATCTGCCAAGATCCCTAACTTCCTGATGCCTACTTTTAAAATAATTTTCAAATATAAGAGGTAACTAGGCAGCTAAGCTCCAAAGTTCCAGCTTCGATTGCCATCTTTATTTCCAAAAATGCAAAATAGGGTTGGAGCTAAAACCTGTGGGTTCAACTGTAGGTTTCAAGCTTTTGGAACCAGACCTGCCTGCTTTGTACTTGGGCAAATTTCAGCTTTACCAGTTTGCTTTTTGGAAAATGAGCATTTGCATAGTCATGCATATCATTGTATTCATTTGATAAATGGGGAACCCTCTCATAGCAGCCATTTTATGGGAGTGCACAAAATACATTCTCCAAGTTCCAAGGTCCTCACTGACCCCTAAAGATTGAAGATCCCAGACTTGGACTGCATAAAAGAAAAATAAACAACAATATTCAACAATGCAATAGTTTGATTTAATTGGACAGGGTCAATTACATTTCCAACTTTTTCAGGCTTTTTGAAAAGGAGTCTTTACCATTTATAAGAGTCAAGGGGCATGAACCAGAATTAGAGCAGATGAGTGTCTCCAAGAATTAGGATTTGCTAGAACACATGGTCTTTTCTGTGGATAGAGATGTTTAAATAGCCCAAGCTACACCACTTGATTTCTCTAGTCAGTTGTAAATTGAACAGACTGAAGCATTTTGTACTACTTTTGATGCTACAAAAATTGCTTTCTTTTCAAACAAAAATCTCAGCTACTGTAAAAAAAAATAGTCTTCAACCTAATTCTTGCTATGATGAAGCTTTTGAATACTTCTGTCCCTGGTGGGATAGAGATTAATATCAGCTTGACATCCTTAATTTTGTTTTAAAAAATGAAATATTCATTTACTAGCAACATGATTTTATATGCAAATATCTAGGAGCTCATTGAATATCTCATTGAACTAGATAAATGTATTAGATGTGCATAAAATTAAATTGTCCATTTTCAAATCTGCTTGCAAATAGTAACTTGATTGCTTTCTGCAAAATGTTTATGAATACAATGCCTTCAAATAGCTCAGTGCTGTATAACCAGCTTTTTATGGCCCAGCTGTTAAGTGCACATTTTCCTTATGAGCTGGATAATAAATGATCACTGAGCTTTCTGATCACTAAGACTAGCAGAAAATGCAAACCAAGCATAATCCCAAATTACAAGTGAAAGCCAAAAGAGTCTAGAGGAATTCTGCACTGGACTTTCAATAAATATTATGATCCATCCTCCAGTTTCTGAGAGCAGTGCATTGCTATGAGCCAAATTTCCATCCATCTAAAAGCAAATCACAGAGTACATATTGTATTTCAGTGCTAAATCAGCATTCTAAAATACGAGTTGTAAGTCATTGGTTGAAAATTCTGCTTTCTGAGATACCCCTTTCTTTTTTACTTACTGTCTTTGTCTCCATTGTGCTCTTGATCCATTCTCATGATGTAGAGGGTACAAGGAATACAGGCAAGACAAAGTCCCACTGCAACTGTTTGGACTTGTATTGTTTACTAAAAGTTCTGTGTTAGCAGCAGTTCAAAATCCCAGGCCAGCTCCTGCAACCACTCCCAACTCATACAACAATTTGGAAGCTAGTGATTAATCACTGGTCACGACGGAAATGAAGTCTAAGCTCTGCGATGCCAGTAAGAGTTGCACTGATCACTACTTGGAAAGACATCCTGTCATCCTCTATGTATGACTGTGACTTTAATCTCTGTGCTTTACTTCTATTCATTCAATTTACAGAAAAGTTTTAGGAAAAAAATCACTGCTGCAGAAGCAAAATGTGCTGTACTCCCCAAAGTTACATCGCGTAGAGATGTTCTAGTTAAGCCAGACTTTATCTGTTTGATGCCCCTAGATCTTGGACTTAAAAACTCCTAATTCCTATTCATCTAGGTATTATGGGAATTAAACTGCAATATATCAAGAGAGCACTTGGTCAGGGAAGAGAAGACTGCCTTTACTAAAAACATACACACATCATCAGTCTGTGTTATATGATGATAACACAGTTTCTAAGTGTGTTCTTCCTCAAGTTGTCCTGGAACAGATAATAAATTGCCAATTGTTTTTTTCTTATTTCTTAGCTGAGTTTTTATTTTTTTAAAGCTCAGTATATTTGATGCAGACAGTGCCAAGATAACAATATCACAGCCAGTGATCTGGTTGACTAATGTACTATATATCTGATTGATCCAGTCCCTGGTAATGTCAAAAGACACATTCATAGAGACTGGAAAATCAATTTTCATTCTGGACTTAAGCTAATAGGAATATTCAGAATGTGGATAAAGTCTCACAATCTCTAAAACCCATTCCCTCAGAATTTTTTAAAGCTTCTGTAGGTCATTACCACAGGGTTTCTTCAGTAGCCCTCATCTGTTGGGGTCTCTTCAGTAGGTTACATGATCCCCATCCCAAATCTCTTTGGTGAGCCTTGGCAACTCCCCAACTTACTGCCACAGACCTCTTTGGTGGCATCCCTCACTGATATACTAGGCACTACTATTGCCTCTACTACGCCTGCCACTGCAGCTTCAGGCAAGCTTGGCTGGGCTGCTGTTCTCCTTGCTCTCTGGCTATTGCTTTGCTCTTCAACTGCTCAGCCTTCAGCTCAGTTGAAATTTTTCAGTTTTGTTTAGCTCCTCGATTCAGTGGAAGATTTTCACCTTCCATAAGGAAGAAATAGTCTCATTCCTATCAGCTGCCAATGAAGGAAAGAATATTTCTTCCCTCTCTACTGAACTTCTGACTGTTCCTTTTATTTTGCCATCATTAGAAGGTGAGTTTGTTTGAAGGGAAAGGGGAAAGAAGGTTGACTGGCATTGTTTTCTCCACACCACACAAGTACATGGAGAGCCCTGAGCAATGTCTTGACCTTGACTTTTTTTACCTGTGTTGATGTCTCTGCAATGAAATCCCTTGTGCCTCCTTCTACATCACATATTGTACATCCATCCCATGTTTGGTTTCTGCTCCTTCTGTGATTTCCAGGTCATTGATCTAGTGACTTTCCCTGAAGCACTATCTTCTCTTTCCTTTTCTTCTATTTCTGTCTGCTTTCCAGATTCTTCACTTACCACCATCAATTGACTCCCTTCATCCGGTCTTGATAACTTTGACTTCTAAGTCTCCACAGCATTGGCTCATTGCATTCGTTCAGTATATTTGCTCATGTACCTGTAAAAGCAAACAAAAGCATTGGCTTGATATAAATCATGTTTTCTACCTGATAGTGGAAAGCAGGAGCAAAGGATGGCAGATGATAAAATATACATAATGACATTACCATGCAAATGTCACAACTTATGTATTTGCATCAAACATAAGCAAGTATATAATTGCAGGATTTGTGATGATATCATTCCATGTGTGTCATCATTTTGGCATCATCACAGTTTGCTGATCTACAAGATTAAATAGTATGATTATATCATTTTGACCATGTAGTCCCAAGAAAGCTTCAGCACCTATTCTCTATCTTTGACATTTTGCTAAGGTCAGCTCCATGTTTTTCCCTGCTCACTCACTTTCTCACCCTTCTCTTCACTTCTTCTCCTAATTATCCTATAGTCCTCATCTGAACTATCTGCATACCCCTTTAAATTGATTCCTTCCTTGCCATTTCCTTCCATCATGACCAAGTTCACTTCACTCTTTCTCTCTCCTGATTTTTTCTCTACTGTGTTCAAACATGCAGCATTTCCCTAACCGCAAGAACTATCTTTGTCCCACTTTCCTTCTCCAGCTACTATTCAATTTCCTTTTGTTTCCAAACTTCTGAAGCCTGTTATTTACTTGTGCTATCTCAACTTTTTCTTGTCTATGTCCACTTATGATCCTATCCAATGGCATTTCCATCTCCCTGACTTCTTAATCTATCCCCACAACTCACTGATGAGTGAACAATCTCACTACATTTAAAAAAAACCTACTTTTCCTTGGCCAAATAACAGTCAATTTCCCCTTCTACTAATAATTATTTTTATGCCCTGAGTTGGCATGCTCATGTCCTGAGCTAGTTCTACCTGCCTGACTGAACGTTCAAAACTCCTTCTCTGCTTCAACTCTTTAGCTATGAGTTTATTTGTCATGGCTTCACTCTTGACTTTCTGCACTGTTCTTTTTACCTTCTGCCCTTATGACTACATTAGTCCCTCTTCTATCTAATTATTTTTTTGGTCTGTCCTTCTAAACGCAATTTCTATACCTCCAGCTGCTTTCTTGGTGTTTCTGTGCCACGCTTCATGGTCTTCAGTATTGTTGTTGTTTAGTCGTTAAGTCGTGTCCGACTCTTCGTGACCCCATGAACCATATTGCGCCAGGCCTTCCTGTCCTTCACTGCCTCCCTGAGTTTGCTCA